GGCTAGGCAAGGGTGAAAAATAAGAACCAAGAGAGATTATGTAAAGGTGCAAATTTCCAATGATGAATGTCATATTGTATACCTAAAATGTACCAGTGATTATAATGAATAATCGATAATGCGAAATAGAAAGAAAAGGTCCAAAGGAGTAGGGGTAGTGGGAGGGGCAGGGGAAAGGAAATAAGGGAAAGGGAAAATGATATGAAATGGAAAAAATGGAAATAAAGTCTTTGTAAATAGGGAAGGGTGGAGGGGGTGAAGGCTGGGCTAGGAATGGGGAAAAAATAAGAACCAGGATGGATCATATAAAGGCACAAAGTTCCCAATGAGAATTGCAATTGTGTTTTATAACTAAAATGTACCAATAAAAGAATTTAAGAAAAAAACCATTTAATTATTAAAAAGAAAAAAGAAAAAAACCAAGATTTACAGCTATCTATGCAGTAGAGACCATGTTTTCCTCAGGTAGCTGAATACCTAGACCCACATATTGCCTGTTGATCTAGAACGATTAATAATAGCATTCCCTGTCATTGTGGCAGAGCTGTCCCAACATGTTAGGTAAATTATATCATCACTCTCTACAGTCTGAATAAGAACATTTTAAGTGGAAATTGTCTTACTTCCCTGCTCACATCTGCAAACTGAGTCTCTGAGAAATGAACTGCCTCAAAGTCACATAAGAATTTGACAAAATAGTTTCTTTTTCCTTTATGCATAATGCTACCTCCCGAAGAGTACTTATCTTTATAAAAGGATAACGTTCATCTAATTGCAGGACAAATTAATATATTTCCCAACTCTTTGAAAGGAAAGCATCCCTCTTCAGTTCTTCTCCAGGGTTGGGGACATGGATGTGTCCTGTACTTCCACATACCCTCTCTCTCTTGTCTCTGGTGGCTGGAAGTGACATTTGGAGAAAGAGTGGGGAGTTGGTGACCAGAATGAAGTTCTGATATGAGCTCATTGACTACAGGAGGGCAACAGATCTACACAGTGTTGGACACAGACTTGGTGTTGCCCACCAGGGGCCAAGCCAAGGATGCTAGCACTCATAGTGTTGTGCTTCTGCACAATTTCCTGTTAGGAGACAATAAAGTGCTTTTATCCTGTGGGTGGCTGACAGATCTGAGCCAATCACAGAAGTCTAAGAGATTCCTTAGGGCTCTGAGGCAAACATACACCACAGGAGACAGAGCAGGTGGTAAGAATCCCAATTCAGGGAGTCTGGAACCTTGATTCTAACTCTGTCCTCATGTCTACTGGCTGTATGACCTTGTTTGAAGAGTAAACCTTACTACAATTCTTTCCTCATCTTAAAAAAGATTATGAGGGCCCTGCCTGAGAATGTACCTACTTACCAATATTTTTTTTTTTGGTACCAGGGATCGAACTCGGGACCTTGCACTTTCGAGTCAGGCAGCAGAACCACTGAGCTAAATCCCTGGGCCCTTTTTTTGGAGACAGTGTCTTGCTATGTAGTTCAGGCTGGTGTTGAACTCACTTTGTAGCTCAGGCTGGCCTCAAACTTGAAGCAATCCTCCTGCCTCAAGTTTCCTAAGTCCTGGGGTTACAGGCATGAGCCACCACACCTGGCTTTCCTACTGCTACATTTTGTAAATAGAGTTTTCCTAGAACACAGAGACCCATGTGTTCACAAGTGTTCTGTGAAGTTTACAAGCTACCCCAAGCATTGGTACAGAGGCTCCTTGGGTCACGTGGGTTTATGTCCTGAGGAACCCCTGAGAAACTGAAAATATCTTAAGTTACAAATGTACTTACTCTGCCTAACCTGCCAAACACCAAGCTCTACACACTGCACCATTGAGAGTCAATTATTTGCCTGGTGAGCACGTGGCTGACAGGAGCTGGGGTCAAGGCTGCTATCCAGGATCTCAAAAGGACAGATAATGCTGCATGGGCCCAGGGAAAGATCAAAATTCAAAAGTATTTTCTACTTAATGTGTGTCTCTCACATCACCATAAAGTCAAAATATAAGTCAAACCATTGTAAGCTGGGTGCCATCTGCAGTTGTGGCATGCTTGCTCTCTGGCCCTTACTGAAAAGAGCTGCTGGGCTATGGATTACGTGATCTCTGATGAAGCCTGAGCTTTCTGTCAGACTCTACCCAGCAGAAAAGAGGAGGGTGAGAAAGGGCAAGGTGAAGCTATAGGTATAAATCTGGGTCAAAACCAGAAGACAATTTGCAAACAATCAACAAGTCAGTTCTCCTAATGGTGACAGATGGCAACACCTCCTGCTAGCCAGGACTTTGTAGATATAAGATGGGCTCAGGATTCATGGGAGAGCTGACAGATGTGTGCAAGGGTCAGATCCTGAGACTCATTGTCAGTATGGTGGTCAGTGCAGAACAGGAGGGAGCCTGCTGCTTGGCCCTCAAGCCTCTGAATTCCTAAAGCATGAGCTTCATGTAGAGAAACACAGGGCACATAGGTACTGTAGTGGCAACATGAAGCTCCTCAAGAAAGGAGGGAACAAGAGGACAGGGAGGATCTGCTAAGTAGAACTCAATCCTGTGATGGAACCCAAAGCTCATAAACAGCACTGGATGGGCCCTCAAAGCTTTAGACAGTGGGTGAGGAAGTTATTGTTGTGCTTGCATTAAATCACACTAATCCTAATGCCAAAACCCACTCTGAATGATGAAGTGAGGAAGCCCATGGTGGTGACCACAAGGTCTTGTCACTGCCCCAGCAAGGGCTGCTCAGGGCCCTCAGGCCAGCTCTGGATCCTGTCTTGGATCCTGTCTGGTCCTGTCTGGACCCATAGAAGAGACTTGCAGAGCTGGCAGTCTCATTTTGGCTTGGAGTTTGCTGTGTGTTTCTTGGCAGGAGGAGCCCATCCTGCAGCCATGAGCATCCTGGATTAATGCATCAAGTAACACCTGGGACCAACCAGTTTGGGGAAGCTCTTCTACTATTAACACACAATTCTTTCTGTCCCACAGCCTTGACCCATTTTGTTGGCTTTTGGAGGCTCATCCCCTAAGGCCCCAACTGCCTATGTCATGATGTGAAGAACACAAAAGTGTGTGCATATTTTTCCACAGCATGGAGCATGTGCTCTGTAGAGGGAAATCTGGGATGATGAGATGAGAGAAAGTTGTTCTGTGCTGTAGTGTATCCCAGGGCAAATGTCAAAATCAGCTTTGAGCCACAGTCTCAACTTAGTTGTTTGCTTCCCAAGTTTCTCTGAATTTTGCCCCAAATTCTGGGGAAAAGTTGAGATGAGGTCTCTAGGACCCAAACCAAAAAGGAGCCTTGAATTTCCTTTCTGGCACTAATGAAGTGAGCTGATATGGTCACAGCCTTGGTATGTTGGCTTCTCCTCCATGATGGATTCTGTTGGGGGTAAAGTGGGACATGTGTTTACCTGCTGTCTTAATTTTTCTCATTGCTGAGACAGAATTCTCAACACCCAAAGTTAAAGGAGGAAAGATTTATTTCAGCTCATGGTTTGTAGAGGTTTCGATCCATAATCAGATGGTTGCAATGCAGGGTGGCGTGGCAGAGGGGCATCGCAGAGGAGAAACAGCCCATGGCAGGGTAGGCAGAAGGCAGCAAGCAGCAGCAAGTCTGCCTTCTTTCTCCCCCTTTATATTCCATCCAGGCTGTAAGCTTATTGATTGGTGACACCCACACTCAGGATGAGGCTTTTACTATCCACACCCTTAATCCCAGTATCACATCCTCAATCCATATTCACACCCTAATCTAGCCATTTTTGAAACTCTCTACCTAAGACTGAATGAGGCTTTTGGAGAGCATCTAGATAAAAGCCATAGCACCTAGTTTATTTTCCCTTTCTCTGAACCCTTATTGTGCCAAAAATGCACTCTTTTTTTCTCCTTGGTAGGAGGGAAGAGATATTTATTTCCCTAATTCCTCTTTAAAATCTAGAGAAAATAAAAATATTTCCTGTAAAATTTTGAAATGTGTTAGTGAACTTAGGCCATGACAACTACACTGTGCTATATATACAGCAGTGGATATTGAATAATGTAGGTTTTGTCCATTTTTGAAGGGTGTATAATACCCAAACCAGAGGAATGACTTGATCTTTGTCAAATTTCCTTCATCCTCTATGCCAGTGCAATAATGCTAAAAACAGAGGAACTAGGAGTGAAAAATGAACTGAATTTCACGTCAACAAAACAATAAATTCCCACTAGGCTAAGGGCATGCATGAAGGAAGTGGCAGGCACATGTGTTTGCATGTGTGCTTTTGCACATGTGTGGCTATATGCCCATTCATATGTGCAGTGGAGTGAGAGGTACAGGAGCTGGCATGGGAGCCAGCCTGGAGTGTGGGTACCAGAGGGTTCTGGGTTCATGGATGCTGGAGTGGGAGTGGGTTCCTTGTCTTGCAGAACACTTTTGGATGGCCTAAGAAAGAGCAATTGCTGTCACTTCTGACATTTTAGGCAGGAAAAGTGTCCTGGTTGCTCTTCGTTCTCATGAGAGCTCTCAGAGAAACCGAAGTTTTGAGCATATAAGTAGAAGAAAGTGGTCTTGCATGATACTCCAGCCTGAAGCCCAGACCTCCTCTCACCTCTCTTGGCCAAGAATAGTTGGCACTGGAATGTCTCTAGTTTCCCATAGGAATGCCTGCCTACTGGGTTCTTTGATAACCCTACAGTCTGGGGGAAAATGTCTTATTCCTCGGGCAACTTAATTCAACTAAAATTTCCCCCTTTATAGCTCATCTTCCAGCAAGGATATCAAAGACATCAAACCAGCCACTAAAGTTAATTACCTTACTAGTGACATAGACCTCAAAGAGGAGGTTTATCTTCATCTCACCTTCTCACCTTCCATCATGGAATATGGGAATTTCCATGAGTCACCATTCTGGGAGAAGACTAGCTTCATTGGTGACCTTTCACTAGAATTCATTTCAGAACTGACACTCCAGGGGAACTTTCCATATCCTCATTTCCCAGACACATCTTTAAAAGCCTCAAAGACATTATTTATAATAGTATCTGACAGATGGTGGCGTTGCACCAAGGTGTGTAGCTGTGGATTTACTTCTTGTTGGCTACATTTGCAATTCTGAGCCTCCTGGCACATGGAAGTCTTACTCCCTACCTGAGCCAGAAACTGATCCAGCTGACACTGCCTGAAGAAACTGAAAATCAAGGTCCTTGTTCACACAAGTGGGAGGTCCATACATATTGACTCAATCAGGCATTTTTGCTTTTAATTAGAAGCTGAAAAGTTTGGAGAGATGTTTTAAGAGAAGCAAAGTAAGACAAGTTCACCTCCTATAATTAGCTTTGTAAGCCTGTGAGAACATGTTTTTAAAACATGGTAAATCCAGTACTGGCACAGGGCTGGGAATTGGGTGTGCTCCTCCATCACCAATGTGAGTTCAAATTTTTATAGGCCTCTGAACAAAAGTTCTTATGAACTATAAATAAAGTAATGCTTCTTTTAACAGTTTATCCTAAGGATGTAATCAGTGATACAGATGAAGGTATATTATACAAATATTTTCATTACATTATTCTAAACATGAAAAACTAAAATAAAATGTTCAACAGAAGTGGGTAGTCAATAGATTATGGCATAGATAACCTGTGGATACATCATTTTGAAAAAGTGCTCAGTGGCACAGAAAGGAATGGCTTCCCAACATAATGTTCAGTGGGGAAATGAGCAGGAAATAAAATGAGAATTAAGTAAATAACTTTGGTGAATTTCAATATATGTATGGGTAAAGGATTAGAAGAACATTCATTTTGGTTTATTTCTGCCTGGTAAGATTATGAAAATTTTCCTTTATTTTCTCTGTTTACCATATTTCCAAAAATAAACATGAGCTACTGTTATAATTTTAAAAGTTGGTAAATATGTACAATGTTTTCCTGAAGAACTGAGCAGTTCATTAAAGGTATAAACAAAGGTAACATTATCTTATTAACCAGTGCCTATTTTATCAATAAAAGTTGAGGTTCCTTATAAAAATATCTATGATAATTTAGAAATAATTTTAAAAACAAGAGTAAAGAAAAAACAAATTTGAATGAAATGTTGAGTCTGACAAGTAAAAGCAGAACCCGGATCTGCCGGCCCTAACAATGGCTTCATTGAGTGGGTTGCACCCTAAGTTGGATGACGGCTTCTAGAGGTCGCACGCGAAGGACACAGCCTCAGCAGGGGCTAGACTTCACTGCCTCAGGGAAGCAAAGGTTTTCAGCCCTGCACTCTAGAGATACGAATGTGAGACTGAGCTAGCAGGTCCAGATGGATGAGGTGAAGGCCCTGTGAGGACATCCCTGAAGCAGAAACTTCTGGACACTGCGGTGCAGCATCCATCCCTCTGTGAAGGTTGCAGGTGGAGCTGTAATACACAACTCTGAGAGCAGCTGTCCACAGCATGTGCTGACTGGTTCTCCCTGCAACAGAGCCCATGAGGAGGGTTTGTGCAGGCTCATGGCCCTGAGTGTGGTGGGCTTGTTCAGTGACTTGCTTTGAACCTGTAGAATTTGATACAGATGACAGAGTATCAGTTCCATGGTTATATTGCAGGAAACTGTTCATGTCCATCTTATTGGAGAATTTCTCCTTTGCTGGTTTTGATGGGGTAAGTGGCCATGTTTGGGTAACCATGTGGCAAACAACTGAGGACAGACATCAGTCACACACCAGCTGGAAACAGACCCACAGTGAGTAGCTCCAAAGAACCAAGTCTTGCCAACAGCCACAAACAGAGCTTGCAAGTGGCTCCTTCTTGGGGAGCCTTTCAAGGAGCCCCAGCCCCACTGGGCACCAGAGGCCTGGGACAGATACTAGGTCCAGATTCCTGGGCCACAGGCACTGTGAGATAATGAACGGGCATTGTTTTAAGGCACCACATTTTTGGTGACTTGTGACACAGCAATAGATAACTAAGTGCAATCATATTCTTAGGGGCTTGGGACTTCAGACTGGACCTGACTATATCCAGGACCCATGTCATCAGCCACTTCTCTGCTATCCTTGAGTTTATCTCCTTGAGCAAATTTACCTTAACTATCTTAGATACATGATCATATTGTTTAAATGACAGGGATACATTAGAGAAATGTGGTCTAGGTGGCTTTATTGTGTGAATGTCACAGAATGTAGGTTCCTAGTCATACATGGTACAGCCAACTGCAGCCAGCCTACCTGTGCACCTACAAACCTGTACTGCATGTTGCTGTTCCTGGTGCTATGGGCAAGTCTAGCACCACAGTAAGCTTAACTCCGAACACATCTGAATGTAGAGAATAGACTGCAAACCCATAACATAAAAAATGACAAAAGGTACAAGTGCATAGTCACTCACCAGGACGGAGTCTCTCTGAGTGAGTCAGGGAGTGAATGTGAGGTCCAAGGGCATTACTGCTCTCCACTCTGGATTTATAAACGCTGTCCACTTATAGGATGCTCATTCTATACACAAAGCACTGTGCTTTCTTCAACAATGAATTAAACAGCCTACTTTATAGCAACTTAATTTTATTTTATAAACTTAATTATTTAAACACTTGAGTCTTTTATAATAACACAGCTTACAGCATATATACATTGTACAGCTATACAAAAATAATTCCTTTCTTTTCATTTATTTTTGGGGTGCTGGGGATTGAAGCCAGAGCCTTGCACATGCTAGGCATGCACAGTACTACTGGGCTACACTCCCAGCCCACTTTAAAAATATCTATTCTGTGAGCTTTTTTAAATTTAAGAATTTTTTTTCACTTAAAATGCTTTTGATTCATAACTCTCAACAGGAATATACACCCTTAGTCCTACACAGGGTCAAGATTATCAATAGCTCTGTCTGCTGCTTCCACATCTTGTCTACTGGAAAGCTTCAGGGCAATGACAGACATAGATCTGTCACTTCCTATGATGGTGGTGTCTCTTCTGGAATCCTCCTGCAGGGGCTGCATGAGGCCTCTGAGCAGGTGCCACTGTTCAGATAGATGACTGTAATTGTCACTTTCCTGTTGCTGGGACACAATACCTGATGCCCACAGCTTAAAACAGAAAAGGTTATATTTGCCTCATGGTTTCAGGAGAGGTCAGTCCCTGGTTAGCTGGCTCCAAAGCAGAAACATCATGGTGGAGGGTATGGTGCAGCAAAAATGCTTAGTTCATGGGAAGCAGAGCAAAGGAGCAGTGCCAGGGAGGAAGGGGACAGGGACAGAGGTCATGCCTTCATAACCCACCCAGACACACCCAGAAGTGGCTTTACTAATCTTCCAGGTGACTCCCAAGCCAAGCACAGTGACACAGCTGAGCTTAACCACCCTACTGTCCTTGGGTTTGCCAGGTTTGTTTCTATCTTGAGGCACAGATTTACTTGGAAGCAGAGAGTGTACCTTGGACTTTTCTCTCTGTTAATGAAATCTTTCAGGGTTGGGGTCCATGTCTTCACACATTTTAAGGAGCTTGTTGGAGTTTTCAAGAGCCTCTCCTGAACACTTCCTGTGAATTTCATGGAGGCATTCTTTCTTTTCCCCAGAAGTTTCCTTTTGTCTTGCTTCTTCTTCAGCTAAGCATTCCTGTTCCAGTTCTATCATAATCTTTGGGGTTGGCTGAGATGTTTTTAGGTGGTGCACTACTGTAATTAACTATTTGTGGCCCGTGTCTCTAGTGATACCTTTACTTAAGCACTTTCCATATTGAATTGTAATTTTGTGTTTAGCTATCTGCCTCTCTCCTATTAGACAGTGAATGCTGCAGGGACAGGGACTGATTCATCTCTGTAACCCTGGAACCTGGCCCAGAGCTGTCACTCAGGTTCTTTGGAAATGTTTTTTGAGTTAATTAATTACTTCTCAAGACAGTGTAAACAAATCAACAATTTTGTTCCAAAGATATTTATTGATGTCAGCAAGGTGGCAAACACTGGGCCAGATGCCAGGGATTCAGACACAAATGAATCATGGTTTCTCTGCCTAAAGTTGCCAGAGCCTAAAAGAGAGGTGGTCCATGAGAAAGGACAACACAGAGCAGCCAGAAGCTTCTGAGAGGTGTGAAGGTGAGCCACACAAGGATGCCATTTGTGAAGGTCATGAACTATTGAATATGGATGATGTTGCACGGATCAACCTATTAAAGATTAGCTGCTAAATAGAGGCAGAATAATTTGTGAGCTGACAGGGTCTAGATCTGTAAGGTTTTAATCCTAAGCATGGAAACATGACCGACCTTTGACCCCTAAGCAAATAGTAGGGTAGCTCAAGTGGATAAACCAGAAAAGTGGTCACATCGTGGACAAATAAGATGGTGGTGCATTCATGGGATTAGGGGTGAACAAGGATGCTGTCTTAGACTGCCAACTTTGGAAGAAAATTATTTTATTTTTCAATGTCTTACTTTCCTAAGCTAATTGCTATCAAAATAAATTGTGAAAAAAAGTGTAAGTTTTGGAATTCCAGCTCAAGTGATTTTTGGTGTTATCTAAAAAGGAAAACCACAGTTACCAATGTGTTAGTTATTGATGGCTGTGTAACAAATGAGCCACAGTGACATTTCTTACTCTCAGTGCCTGAGGGTCAGAAATCTAGGCACCCTAGCCAAGTTGTCTCCACAAGGTGCCATCAGCTGTCAGCTGGGACTGTAGTCCTTGAGGTTGGATGGGGAAGGGCCACTTTCCAGTCACCCATGAGGTGGATGGTGGGCTTCAGATTCTCGTGGGCTGCTGGGCTGAAGACATCTGGCTTCTGGTAGATTTTGGATGCAAACTGACCCAGCCCTTGCCATGAGGGCTTCTCCATAGAGCAGCTGAATTCCTGCAGAACAACAAGCATGGCCCCACTTACTGCTCTTATTTCTCAGAAATGTCTCAGCAAGTTTTGCTTTGTCATTGAGAGACAACAATGATGTACTGAGGGGAGCATGGAACTGAGGCAGCACCAGATGACCTGCTCCTGTATCTGCTCTTGTCCTCTCCCTCTCCAACCTTCTCAGTCAGGCAAAATGGACAATGGAAAAGTTTTAGATCAGCTAGGATTTCTGGATGCCCTGAGCTGAGGCATGAACACCTCATTCATCCTTCACACGCTTCCTGAACCTCTGCTCAGTACCTACTGCTGTGCTGGATGCCAGGGTGCAGTGGTGTTATGGGTGGATCATGTCCTCCAAGTAATTTACGTAGCAGCATCCTAAGCCTTGGAATGTGACCTAGAGATGCGGGCCTGACAGGGGAACCATGCTAGAATGAGGCCATTAGTGGATATGAGTGTTTTTGTAAGAAGAGAAATATGGACACAGAGACACATGGGTAGGAGATACAGAGACATAGGGAAGAGATTCTGTGAGCATGGAGATGACTGGCTGCAAGCTCAGAAGAGAGGCTTGGAGCAGATCCTCAGAGACCTCAGAAGGGGATGGCACCATGGGCATCCTGACTTTGGACATCTCACCTCCAGAACATCCAGAAAATGGATTTCAATTCCTCAAGCCCCCCAGTTTGTGGTCCTTTGTTAGGGAAGCCCTAGGATACTAATGCCAGGGATGAGCAGAATGGATCCATTTCTAGCAGCCAGGGAGTTACAGTCCAGCGGAGACATGGGTGTTAATCAGATAACCAGATGACAAACAGATAATTGCAACCCAAAAGAAACTCTCAAGAAAAGGAACTGCTCTGTGAACACACACAGTAAAGACCCCATGGACCTCCACATCCTCAGACCTGAAGGATAGCAGGTGTTAACTTGGGAGAGATGTGCATTCACCTCACACAACTCCTGGAGGATTCTAGACAAAACCTTGCTTGGAAAAATTCCAGCCATCTGGGTCCTTCCTGGGATTGTAACTGTTTAGGAGCAGGCATGTGACTGTCAATCCATGCATCCCATCTTGGGACTGTTCTTTTCTTTCCTTTTTCCTGTTTTCTCTCCTGTGCTGGGTGGGAATAAGAAACGTGGAAACATTCATTGCTATAGGCAGCTGTCTTGTGCCCAAGAGGCAGAACACCCTGAGGCATCTCTGATGGGAATAGGCAGGGCAGGACCAAAGCTGGGAGCTAGGAGCCTGGCCTGGAATCAGAGTGTTGTGCATGTAACCTAGACCTGGGCTCTACTAATCTGGAGATGAACCCACCCTTGAATCAGCACCAAGAGGACTCTGAGGTTGTGATCAGTAAGAATTGGAAAGGCCACTCCTTTTCTCATAGATTGTGGAAGGAAAGTGCCCTTTCTCATCTGGCCAGCCTTGAATGATTGTTTCTTAAAATCTAGAACTCAAGTATGCTCTAGATTCATTGGCTGTATCCATAATTCTGTCAAAAATGTATATATTTTTTCTGCCAAGCTGTTGGAATCACAATTTTCAAGTTTGGCAAAGGATTATTTTCCCATGAGAGATACTATTTTTTGACTGCAACTTTTCCCCATTACACTATAACAATTACCAAGGTCTGGCTTCTGGTAACAAAGCACCCTGTAAGTATCAGCAAGGCTGGCCACAGGGCAGCATATGCTCATAGAGTTGGGCAATT